AAGAAAAGTTCTGGGCATAGAAAAATAGGGTTCTGTATATTTGTTTCCTTACCAATATTTTTGCAGTTCATATAGGAAGTCCTTCTATTTTAATCTATTTAATGTATTCCATGCCTCCATCAGAATTTGTATGTTGAATTTATCATAATGTAATGTTTCTATCCCTTAAGTAAATATGCTCCTCACTGGCCAGAATAATGCATTTTGGTTTTTAAATATATTCTTATTAAATATATGATATTATGCACAGATACTCAAATTAATTTTAGATATAAATTCATTAAAGAATTAAAAATTATTTAACAGGGAAAAATAAGTGATTCCTCATTGTATTTTCTTTAGTTCCGTTATTTTCATACATCCCTTTACTTTGTTTGCATGCCCTTCTCATGGTTGTTAAGTAGCATCACGTTCCTTATATATAGGCAAAGCATTTGTAACCCGTTCACTTTGTGTTAGTGAACATTGAAATGGAATTGATAACAGTTAAACCATATGCCCCTTTTTTATTTAATTTGCTTGTAATTTTAAACCTTATATTTAATTTTTCTTGACATTTCAAGTGTTGTGATATTTATTAGCAAAATTATTCAGATACTACCATTGTGAAATTCTAATAGTATATTAACAATCCAAATGAACATTCAGTATTATATTAAGATTGTTTCAGATAAACTTATTTGGTAGCTTATTTTATGACTTGATTTTCCTCTGTGTTTTGCATAACTAAATAAAATACTGAAAATTTAACTTCAAAAGCGACAATAATAGACTCCTCCTTTACTCTGAATCCTGTATTGCAGAATTATGTAAGTGTATATGTTATTGTTTTTTAATTCCCTCAACCCCTAATGGTTTGGGGAAAACATTTAATCTTTAATGTATATTTCAATTATAAAATGTAAATTAAAATGTTTTTAAAGTTCTGCCTTTAAACCAACATAGCATCAGTTTCTATTTTGTTAAACTGCTTTATAGAATACTAAATCTCTGAGCAAGCCAACAGATTTATGAATTAGTTTACTTTGTGATAATATCTTATGAATTCACCTGTGAATGATGGCAGTATACTCTTTTTAAACAAAATAATTTGATTTCTGAATTTGGATTCTATGGAATTATAACACCCTTCTGGAGATTTTTATGAAAGACTCATTTAATGACTTCCAAGCAACTCCACAAACTTCTATTGAGAAGCTGCTTTGGGGCAGCCTAGAAACCAAGACTACAGTGCATAGAAAGACCTAGACTTAATATCAGTGAGTTTAGGACAAAATCAATGAGTTTGCCAACTACTTGTTTGGTCACTTGATGCTCGCTCTTCAGAAATGTTAGGCACTCACCGGACTTTTCTAGTGGTCGTCTCTCCAGTGTGCTCTTCCTGAGCACGCCATCTGTGACCCTGTCTCAGGGCCCAATGCCTGTGTGATCATTCTTCAGTGCGCTTCCAGTCTTGCACTCCAGGTCACCAGTCCAATCCGTACCTCCCCTTGGGTGACTTAGTCCATTTCAGACATAACATTCTCAGCTCTACCTTTGCCTCCTCCAGGATCCTCCGTTGTTTTCTTCAGGAGAGGGGCTTCAGTTGCCCGGGAGTCCTATAGTGCTGGTTTTACCTGCTTGTTTCCCCGCCCCGCTCCTTACAGTCCAGTCTGCCCACCTTCTCTCCGGTCGCTCTGTCCTGTCAGCCTTCCCTGTTAGACTAAAGCCAGGGCGAGCTCTGGTCTAATGAGAGCCAGCGCTTCCTTGTTGGTGACAGGAGTGCCCTCACTGCTGGGCCAGGCTTCACTGCGTTCTGTCATGGTGGTCACAGCGCAAACTGGTCAGCAGGACCGTCCCAGCCTGTCTTTATCTCTTGTGTCCTCCTTTCCCAGCTGTCCCTGTAGCCCCTTACCTACCACTCCCCTCGTCTGAAGTCATTGGCAGCTTCAGGACACTCCTCGCTTATTGGGTGTGTTACAGCGACTTCTGGAATGGACGTGGAGGAAGTTGATAGTAGATTTCACAGTAGAAGCTAAGTTTCAGGAAAAACCATAAAAAAGATTAGTCTTAGTACTCCAGTGGTTTCAAAGCCACTTAAGACTTCTTCCAGTGAAAGATCAGCAAATAGAAACGTATTGCCTAAAAACGTTGCGCATTTTTTATCAAGTTTCTTAAATGGGTGCATATTAATATGCAATAGAAGTAGTCTTCACTTTGTTATTCATGACCTCTTAAAGGAAGAGTTCTATTTTTTTAATCTAACACAGTACTGTGTTGTTTAAAGCACCTGTTTAAATTTATTGACCAGTAGTTAATTGTATTACCAGGAACCTAATAGTGTAGTTTTATATGATTTGTTCACCAAATGGAGAGATGTGCTCCTATAATATGCAATCAGAACTTTGGTCCTAAAAAGTTTTCATGGGAAATTAGGAGAGTTCTGTAAACAAAGCTTTTGAAAGCACTCTAAATCTAATACTACAAAACAAATATATAACCGGAGAGATCCACGTAACACTGGAACCAGAGTGTAACCTTGGTTCTCAACATTAGCTAATTGTTTCTTAAATATTCATACCACATATTTAAAGCGCCAACCACCTTGGTACAAAGGCTGCTTCCCCTGTGGGAGATCAGTCAGATTTAACCACTGCTGCGGTAGCTAGCCATTGTGTATGTTCTCTAATGCACTGCTTCCTGATTTCATTTTTATCATGAAAACTCATCTGTTAGGAAAGGCACCAGTGCGGAAACCGGTGTGGCTCAGCAGTAGAGCATCGGCCTGCATACTGAAAGGTCCCAGGTTCGATTTCGGTCAAGGGCATGTACATTGGTTGCGGGCACATCCTTGGTGGGGGATGTGCAGGAGGCAGCTGGTCGATGTTTCTCTGTCATCGACGTTTCTAGCGCGCGCTCTCTCCCCCCCCCCCCCCTTCTCTCTGTAAAAAATCAATAAAACATATTTGGGGGGGAAAAAAGAAAGAAAGAAAGGCACCAGTGACTGTATATGATGCCTGTGGTAAGAATTGTGCCGCCTCTTGTAATAATGAGGAGCACTGAGGCCCTGTAGGTGTCACACCCAGGGAAGAGTGGCTCTCAGACTGGCTCCGTTGGAGGCACAGGCAGGAAGAGCATCTGTGACCCCACTCTGTGGTGTTCCTAAATGAGAGACATTGTCATGGCAGTTTCTGAGGCAGACGTCTGGTACATGAGTTCCATTTGTATAGATTCCAAGCATCTTTATAAAAATCTGTCCCTGGAAATATAACACATTTAAGAGTATATTAATTTTTATATGTCTGATGTTTTCCATGATAAAAAGAAAAAAATATAGAAGTGCAGGTATTGTTTAAAAGCTATGGATTGTGTATACATATGTATTCATAAACATACTGCACCTACACATGTATGTATTTAATACACACACACACAAGCACTTAAAGCTGAGTCCAAACACATCGATATTAGTCCTCTCTAATCTTTCCTGTGGCTCCCTGACCAGCTTGTCAGGTGAGTGCCACCCTCCCAAAGTGACCAGTTGATTTATAAGAAGATAGAGGGGGTTTTTTTGTTTTTCTTTAATATGTTTTATTGATTTTTTGCAGAGAGGAAGGGAGAGAGATAGAGAGCTAGCAAACGTCGATGAGAAAGAAACATCGACCAGCTGCCTCTTGCACACCCCCCACCGGGGATGGGCCCGCAACCAACGTACATGCCCTTGACCGGAATTGAACCTGGGACCTTTCAGTCTGCAGACCGACGCTCTTCCACTTAGCCAAACCGGTTTCGGCAAAGAAGATAGAGGTTTTTAAAAATATTAAGAAGATTAGTGAGTTTAACTTTGAACATAGTTTGGAGCCAGACTATAGGTAGCTTAAAGCTTTTGAGACACAAAAATTGTTAAGATGAAAGCTGCATTTGTGGCAGTTAATCTGGCCATTGTGTATAGATTGATGGGGAACAGACATCATTAACATAATTTTGTAGTGGTTTTGATAAGACCCAGATAATGACTAGGACAAGGGTGACATCGGTAATAGGAAAGCATGGGGTGAATCCAAGGTAAATAGGATGGCTAAACATTTTGATAATCAGATGGTCCTGGGTTATACCTGATATTAAGAGTACCCCTGCTGGCTTTCACATGCGTAGTGGCTTGGACATCAAATGATAACCCTAAATGTAGATTTGCTTTAGAGTTGATAGCACTTGCTAACAGCTAAATTTAGGGGATAGAGGGATGTTCGCAGTGTATACATGTATATATAACTGTCTGTGTGTGTGTGTGTGTGTGTGTGTGTGTGTGTGTGTATACACACATATATATATAATTTTTAGAAGTTCTTATGACTTAAATTTTTCTTTTTTGAGAATTAGACTGTTATCTGAATATCACAATCAAGACTTCCATGTTTAAAAGCCCCATTCCCCCCCTTTTTTTGGTCTTATTGTTAATCCTCACCCAAGGATATTTTTTCCATTGATTTTTAGAGAGAGTGGAAGGAGGGGAGGGAGAGAGAGAGAAACAGAAGCATCAATTGAGATGCTCTCATCTGGGCTAGAGATTGAACCTGCAACCCAGGTACATGCCCTTGACTGGGAATTGGACACTCAACCCTTTGGTGTGTGGGCTGATGTTGTCACCACACCAGTCAGAGCTGTTTTTGGTCTTAATGAATACATTTGAGCTTTGAAGTCTTTAACAAAATAATAGATGCTAAAGAGAACATAACATATTTAATCTCAAATAACATTTTCATGTATTCCTTTTAAAACCAAAGCCTTTTAGGAGAACTTTAGTAAATCAGTGCAGCTTATATTTAAAAATTCCAAGTAGAAGTGCAGCCAGTGGCAGCTGAGTGTTCCATGTGCCATGTGCCCTCAGTGAGGTTCCCCGTGGCCCCTGATCTTCCTCCTACTGGAAGCAGGTGGCTCTGGTCACGTGCTGTCAGGAGTGTGGATGTGGCGCCGATGTATGTGGACCACCCTAAGTGCTTCTTGCTCTGTTCCTTATACAGGCAGAGGGAGAAGACAGCCTGAAGAAGATGCAGCTGATGGAGCTTGCGATTCTGAATGGCACCTACAGAGATGCCAACATTAAATCACGTAAGAACGCGACTGGGGCCCGCACGACAGCATCTCGGCTGTTTGTCCGCAGAGCTTTCTCCTTCGGTGGCATAGCACCTGACCAGATGAAACAAAGAGTTGGGATGATTGTTCCTGGATATGGCCTCAAAGCCCGCTTTTACCACTTTAATGAGTTGTGGACGCTCTTCTTGGTTTTGTTTTGTTCCAGCATGTCCCTTAAGGTCTAAAAGGCTTATGAACTTTTATTCTTTTAATGAAAGTTCAACTTCTAAATGGAAGAGTTTAATGAAATTTTCTATGTTAACTACAGATTTAAGACTTCTAGTTTATTTTGTAACATTTATGAAAAGGACAAAAAATGCAGAGCTTTTTGAGAGCAGCGACCCTCCTGTTACACTCTGTCCCTTCGGCATGTCCCCTCGCGATGCTTTGGTTCACAGAGGGCAGTAGTGGGAACTTTTGTAGCCCCATTCCCCCTTTAGTTGTGTTTGCACATGCTCTCTTAAACCGTGTAAGAGGATTGCTTCTTTATATTTAAAATGAGATCCTGTAGAATTAGTATTTTGAGAAAATTAAAGGGTAAATTACTAAATTTTTTAAAGAAATTGAATGTTAAAGTTCTGGGCAATTTTCTAACATGTAGACAACCTGTTGGGTTTAGAAGTACCTGCTTCACAAACGGGTGGCTTCCATTTACTTAGGAGAATGGGTCTGTTATAAGTGTCCTATAGAGGGAGGGGACGTTCACTGTGCAAGGTGGGCACAAGTAGGTTCACGGGTATACTTGAAATAACTTATTCTTTACTGTTACTACCGTGCTGTTTTCCATACGAACAACCGTAAACCTACTTTGACCCACCCTGTATTGTTTTTCTATGAGAAGTTAATTCCTACATATGCAAGAACTTTACAAGTACTTGGCTTAATACAATAAAAACGATTCTTTAATTTGAAACTGAAGCTACTCTATTAGAAATTATAGCAAAACTGTTTCTGGGGACTCCAATCTCAGAATATTTTTTAAACATTTTTTAATGCAACTGTTTTGTGCTTCTGCATGCACCTTTTTAGCCTCATGAGATCTTAAAAACAGACATATCACACATATGAACTAAATATAACCTTTTTTAATGGCCTCTCTTTTTTTTAACAGTGGCTTTAGTTTTTGCACATTTGTTCTTAATCACATTGGGAAGGGGAAGCTGTTTGCAGTTGATTGGTGTGCTTGGGCGTCGTGTGTGACCAGCGCATGTACTAATGATTTCCTTTTATTTTTCTTCTTTCCTGCTTTTTTCTTTCTTTTTCCTACTTCCCTCTCCTTTCCTGTATTTTACACCGCTCTCTCTGTACTTCCTTCTAAATTTCTTTGCTTACTGTAGCAGCCCTTGCCTTTTCTCTTGCAGCAACTGCCCAGGCTGCTCCAAGGATTATTACTGGGCCTGCGCCTGTTCTCCCACCAGCTGCCCTGCGCACCCCGACGCCAGCTGGCCCTACCATAATGCCTTTGATCAGACAGATCCAGACCGCGGTCATGCCGAACGGGACTCCTCACCCCACTGCTGCAATAGTTCCTCCGGGGCCTGAAGCTGGGTTAATCTACACGCCCTACGAGTACCCCTACACGTTGGCACCAGCTACGTCGATCCTTGAGTACCCTATTGAGCCGAGCGGCGTATTAGGTAAGTTGTGGTCTCTGTGTGGTTAACACGTTTCTTCACAACCTTTTCTGCCCCAGACTTTGAAATTTTTGCATCAGTTTTAGAGACAAGTTTCCATTGGGAGAGACTGAAGGCTAAATTTTGTTTTATTTCAGCCCCTTGTAAGGGTTCTCCTTTTAAATAATTGCATCTTAAGATTTGGTCAGATTTGCGTTGGTATCTCAGATTTGCTCTGGACGGGTAAATTTGAGCATTTAAGATAGGAAATATTTTTCACATTTGACATCACTGACTCTATCCACTGGCGTATTCTCTCCTTCAGTTTTGCCAAAGTCAGATTCTTTTCTTCTCAAAGATTTCTTTAATTATTGGCTAAGTTTTAATTGTCCATGTGAAAATATTTTGAGATTTTTAAAACTGCAATAATTATATTTTCTAATATATGTGAGAACTTAAATAGGAAAGGTCCCAATGAGTAGTTGCATTCAGATTTTTGTAGTTCTTCTCTTTTGAAGTCCAGGTTAATATTAAACATAAGTGACTCCTCATTTCATAGCACGGTTGGAATTGATAAGTAAACACCAAATCACTGCGGTAGAATCACTCTTGAGGCAAAAATTAGGATCATACTATAAACGCTCAGTTTTACATGAACAAAAAGTGGTGTGCTTGCAAAAGACATTACTGACGCCTTTTCTTTATAGAGTGGATTGAAATGCCAGTCATGCCTGATATTTCAGCCCATTGACTTGCGGGATGGAGGACTAGAGAGCAGCAGCTGTTGTAACACGACCAGTCACTGTGGAGCAGCTGCTTCCGCGCTGCCTTTGTGTTACACACAGAATCTGAACCCTCTCCCCCGAATGGTGTATGACCTTGGTGCTGCTTGCATGCTCTTGACTTGTAGGACTTTGATCTCTTAAGGTGTTTTTTTCCAGCATTCATATTGACTTATAAAATTTGAAAGCCTTTAATGAACCCGGACAAGGATTTAAACTTGAAAATTCATTGTTCTATTAAAGAAAGCCACAACGCTCTGTATGTTATCTGTGTGTGTGCATGCACTCAAGTGCCTTCTGTTCCATGAGCAAATACACTTTATTGTATATGTCTTCGGTTATCTATAACATTGTATAAAGTATTCCAGGTCAGAATTATACCCTAGTACTGTTTATGAAAGGCTTGTTTCTGTTGCACATTTCTTGAAGCATTTTTAAAATAACATGTAACATATAACCTGTTTACGCCTTCTGTTCTGTTAACGCTCTGTCCTGCGGCCCCATGCCTGCTCCCTCCTCAGAGCTCCTCCCTGCTGCACGCACAGCGTCTGTGGAGGAGGTGGACTGTTGCTTCCTGCCGGGCTGGCACTCAGCCACCAGCTGCTGCTCCGGCCCCGGGCAGGGCTCCCTGAGCTGGCCTCGAGGCTTAGACTCCTAGCAGATCACTCGTCTGAAATGCCGAGGGATGACGGACCAGTTTACTGCTTAGAAACAACGAGGGCCACTGCAGAGTAGTCCTCGTTGTAAAGCAGTGTGTTTTTGGTTGTGTTGGGAAATTTTATTTGTAGTAATTATTAGACTGACAAAACCAGAACATACCTATTCCTAATTGGCAATCATAAGATGAATGATAATGAGTACTAAATGACAAAAATCCATTATGATCAATTTTATTTCTCACTTGCCACCTAAGCAGTAAAGCATGATATTGATTGACCATTTGGAGAATTGAGAAAATTATTTCAAATTGCTATTATAGTAAATTTGCACACAGATAACATGCATGCTCGATATCAAGTCTCACATCATATTATTTTAAAATAAGCAGTGCCCTTCAAAACAGATGCAGACATGTGTGTTGGTGGTAGTGAGGAGATTGGTAATAGCATCAAATCTTCATTGATGACTAATTTTTAATTCCCTTCCTTTTATCTTTAGGTATGGCTTTCCCAACGAAAGGCTAAGAATTCAAGAACGGTCTTAACTGAACCCTCATCAGATCTGAATTTAACAAACGCTTAGTCTCAGCAGCCGGGGGGGGGGAAGCTTAGCCTAGCAGTCAGTGGCTTACTTGCACTTTTTGCACACTGATAGAAAGTAAAAGTATGTTATTAATTTGGTTTAGTCTATGATCTTACAAAATAACGGTAATTTATAGAGTGTGTAGTAGTGTACTGACTGCTAAGTGTACTATACTGTTTGCTTTACTAATCACCTAATTCATTGCAGTTCATACTTATTGACTCAAAGTTTAAAACCACAATCTGTAGGCTTTAAGAATTGCTTATAAACCTTTTAAAGTGGTAAACTCTGGAAGTGGTCTTAAGGTTAGCAAGTACTTGTCAGTATTAAACATGGCATTATTTTTAATCCTGCTGCAAGAAAGGCACTTCAGTGAATATGTGACTAGTAAAGCTTGGCGGTGTGGAACTACTGGCGTTGGTGAAGTCCTGTGACTTGGGATTGTACACGAATGGATGACATGGGTTAAGGCCAAGATGTTTGAAGTGAATGCAATATTAATAGACGCATATATACGCAACATATGATGGTTAATTTTAAAACTACTGTGCCTTAACGTGTTTCATAAAATGAAATTTTTGTAGTAAATGAACGTTTGAAATCCGTTTTGATAAACCTGCTGTTAATGTTTGTTTTCTTTTCCCTTGTGAATGTTTTCTAACTTTGTCTTGGTAATTGCAATTTAACTAGGTGCGGTGGCTACTAAAGTTCGAAGGCACGATATGCGTGTCCATCCTTACCAAAGGATTGTGACCGCAGACCGAGGTTAGTTTAGTTCTGCAGTTCTTGTTTCTGAGAAATGCGTGGGGTGTCCATACCATTTGCAACACCACACCTGATGGGAAATGTGTACCTGCTTACTGCCCAGTGTTTCCTTTCCTTTCTAAATTAATTTATGACCATTGGCAGATTTAAGGGTTGGGTTGTTTGTTTTTTTCTCCCTTGATATTTTAACTTATTGAATTCTGTTAATATGTACTATGACTTATTCTTACTGAAACATAAATTAGTCCATTTGGGGAGCTATTAAATTTTGTTTTCACCTCATTTTCAGTAAAAAATTTTTCTAAAAGTTACCTTTTAATTATTTTGAAATTTTGGGTTGGTTTTGCAAAATGAACGGTGCAGATGGTGCTTTAATGAGAGAAGTAAAGGAATATATGCCTCCTGTGTTCTTTTGGAGAAAACTGAAGATTTAGTTTCCCATTTTCCTTTCTAATAAGATATTTGAGCCACTGTATAAACATGAGGTTATACATGTCAAGTACTAAGCTGAACTCAGCAAAGTAGGGACTGTGAAGATAACTTTGATGCAGTTGGGTCTTTTATAAGTCAGAAAATCAGTTCCCTTTTATTCTTATATTTTATTCCAAAATGGATCCTTTGATTTTTGTCATTTGCTGCTAAAATATATTATCTAAATGTAAACTCTCTTGAAGTTCTGTGGTGGCATGAACCCAGCTGTTTGAATACTTTCTTGACTAACCTGTGACTGGAAAATAAGTCTTCATTTTTCTCCTTTTCAACATTTGTAATTTTTGCCCTATTTATGCCCTTGGACCCTTTTATGAATTATTTATTTTTATTGAGGAGTGATATTTTCGGTTTATTGACATTGAATTATTTTTCTGAGTTTAAAATCACAAGCAAGAAATCTGAAGCAAAGTAGAAGAGGACTTTTACAAGCTTTATTTATGGCACATTTATTATCTACTGATTAAGTCACTCTATCGGATACCAGTGGGGAAAAGTGATGGATTACACTCCACTTTTACATCGTATGTGAACTGTGAGAGACCTGCAGCTTTGCCTGGCTATCTTGTATGCAGAAGATAGTATTGGACACAGCTGTTGTCCTCATCAGAATACAATACCTTTCCAGAGAACCGACCGTCTTTATTTAGCATCATATATGGTTAAAGAGCCTTGAAGACATTTAACTAATATGTCACTTGTAGTGATTGTTTAATGAACCAAGTCAATAGGCCCCAAGCTCAGTGATCCTCTGCAAGTGTGGCATGTACCCGTGTGTCCTGCTGGCGTCAGAGCAAGTCCCTTAGTGAAGGAGGACATTTTCAGAAAGCAAAAAAAATAAAATAAAAAATCTAGATTTAAAGAATCCAGATAATTTCATGAGTAATTTGAAGCTTTTTCCCATAGTTATTGTCTGAAATAGTTATGAGTATTTTAAAGTAGTTTGTCCTTTGTTAACTTTTCCTTGTATTCCCATTTGAGATTTTCATAATTTTGTTTTAACATAATAATTATTGGCCTACTCCGTACTCCAGTACCTTGAGATAGTTGAAAGTATTAGGAAGATTTTATTGTATTTCAAAACAAGAACACATTCCATGCATAGCTCTGTCGTAGTTATAAGTGTTTTGATTAGTCTCATCACTGTTTTTATTCAAAATGCAATGTCAGCAAACCGAAATGCTACCTTCTCCCCTTTCTAAAGAACAGAATCCTCTGTGTACTCTTGTTACTGTCACTGGGTGCACTCGGGTCTGAGGGAGGTGTCTGAAGTCCTTCACTTAAATTATTTTATGATACTACTGTTTTCTCTATTTTTGAGGTTTTTTATTACTTTTTTAATCTTTTGAAGGAAAGAGTAATATGTGTTCATTTAATACATGGAAATTCACCCTTGGGCCTGTGACCATGTGATTCTCTATGCACATGTAGAGTGTGGCATGGCTGACAAAGACCTAGTTCTTCACTAGAATAAGCCCACTCTCCACATTGCAGAACTGAGTTCGAAGCCTATAAAAGACCAACTGATTTCTCAGTTGGAATGAACCAGGCGTGTTTTTGCACAGCTGACACGCTGTGCGTACTGTTGAGGCCGGGACTGGGCAGAGGATGTACTGGTTACGGAAGCGGAGGTGTGCTTTGTCCATGGAGTCCCCATTCAAAACCCATGAGGATCTTTCTGAGTAATAATCTTTCAAAATCCATTATTGATACAATTTCTATAAGAAACATTACAGTTTTAAACAAAAATTTAGTTAATGTAAAAAATGCTTTAAGATTCTGTATTTCTTGAATACCAATGAAATCGTAGGACTTCATGTGAAATGGTTTTCTTCTTTGATTATGGAATAGCAGCTTTTATTTTAAATAAAATTCTATTTTTAAGAAATTGAGGGAAGATTTGGTCACAATGAAGATACAGTGTTTTTTGTAGTATTTATAGACTGCCCTACAATGATAGGCCATAGAAAGCACTTTTGTTACATGAGATAAACCTGTCAATGACGTAGATCATTGAACTCCGTGAAGCCGAGGCCCGCCCACTGGGTTTTGATTTACGAGGTGGCACAGACCCTGCCTCCGCACTGAAGTACTTCGTATCTCCTCTGCCACAGTCACAGCGCAACAGTACAGAACTGTCTGTGAAACCTCAGAATAGAGTAGAAATAACTAAGCTGTTGAATGAGTCTTAAAAATCATACTACTGTTAAGTGGACCAAGTTTGGTGAAGCAGAGTGTGACAGGTTGGCTAAGGAAGGAACAACTCCAGGACATTGGGGACGATAACTTTCCACTGAGAACTACTTTATGTTTTACTGTAATTTTAAAAAGTTTTTTGTTCTGTTTGTTATTTTGCAAAAGAAAATAGTATTTACAGGTGGCTTCTTTTAAAATATATAAAGCAGGAATGTATATGAAATGTCAGATTATATTGTATTTGCAGAGAATTAGCTTTGAAATCGAATAAAGAAAAGTTGTAGTTTTAAAAATGCCTTATTGGTATCAATTAGAAATTTCTTCTATTTTTTGATGTACTTAGAGCTTTTTGAGTATAGAATTTTAAATGGCAGGATTTTACAGTGTTTACATGCAAGTGCATTTTATAGTGTTCTATGTGTGTAAAATAGTATTTCCAACTGGAAAGTGTTGGCTAGCGCCGAAGGCCTGGCCTTTTTCTGGTTCCCATGATGCTGGCTGCACTGCTAGACTTCAGTTTAGTACTGCTTTGTATCATGAGGCCAAGAAATTCCATGTTGTTTGTAAATAGAACATTGAAAAAGCAATAAACATTTATTGAACAAAAGAAACCTTGTTTGGCCCAGAGTTTATGTTGAACCAAATTGTTCATAGAAATTTAAATTTCTTTAGATTCATTTCTGTTAATCATCAGTTATTAATAATCACATCCATCATTAATAGCTGCTTTAATGCTTGCATCTGAGAGAATACTAATGCTTAGTGGCAGTCAGATCCTGATAACGCACTGACTGTTCCAGAGTTCTGTATACAGACACTTTATTGTCGTCGTTCTCAGTTCCCTTCATCGAGCTACTAACTATTAGTTGTTAGTTATATTTTATTTCTATTTTTTCCTGTTAACAAGTTTTTTTGTGGGAGAGGGCTCTCCTTCATTTGTTCAAATCATGATGTGAAATTGTCATGATTTTCATTGTATTCGATAGATGGTGTCAATCAGTTTGTCAGAATTACACATGCTTTTTTTTTTTTATTAGTTGTGATTAGTTTTTCATGTTGTCATTAAGCCGTCACTAGCTGAGACTAATCTCTTCTCTATCTTTTCTTTTCTTTTTTTGTTTTGTTTTTTTTTTGTTTTGTTTTTTTGTTTCTAACCACCCAGCCGCCACCGGCAACTAACCTATGACCTTCTGACCTCTGAACTCTTCACCCAATGATGACCTGACCATGCCTGCCTGCTGATCAGTTAACTGGTAATCGCCTTTGCTTGCCTGTCGTCAGTGCAGCGAGCTGAGGCACTTGTCCGTTCGTCTTACCATCTAACCAAACAAAAGACAAAGAAATTGTTGTCCTCCAACTCAGCTTTTGGTTTTTGTTGTTATTTTTCCTGTTTGGGTGAAAATGGTTCTAGAACCTGCACTGAAGTAGTAAAGCAATAAGGCCCAATTCCTCCCGCAGCACTGATCATCTTCCCATCCCCGCCCTGAGCGAACGGTAAGAGGCCTCCCTCCGAGGCAGGCAGAGCCCGAGCTACTCAGTGACAGGCGGGTACTGTGAGGGACTCCGGAGCCTACTCCCGGGAGTCCAGCTCTGAATGTACTGTGTGCTGATGCATCATGCATGAACCTTCGGTCAGGGATGTCAGTGGTGAAGCGATCCACAAGTTTTCAAAATTTGATATGCTGTGTAGTCACTACAGTGCCCTCAAAGGGCAGCATCGCAGCCTTGTATGTTGCCTGCCAAATTGGAAGTATCGCGAGTGTGCCATGAGAGAAAAACTTAAGGAATTTTGAAAAGTAATACAAAGAACAAAACTGCAACACTATTTTTAAAAAGATAAATATCTGAGTTAAAATGACTGAACCTTTATTTTACAGCTCCTTAAAAACATACGAGAACAAGGTACATGCATTATGTGTCACATGACTGGGCAAACTGTTCAGATATTTTTTTTAAACCTCCCTGTATAGAAAAAAATCATTAAGGATGTAAAAGCCATGCTTGCCTATTTGCTGTATACATGTAATGAAATTGTAGATAAAGTGTAGTGCATTGAAACAAATGAACAAAAAGTAGATACTTTTACTATACAAGGGTGCTGGTGCAGAAAAAATATATATATTTTTGGAAATGTAGCATTTTATACTTTCAAGTGTTATAAAAAAAAGAAAAAGAACAAAGAAACCCTTTATTTCATTAAATGATTTTTTCTGGTGGTTGTCAAGAAACAAAAGACCAAAAGAGCCTTTTTGTCTTTCTTTTTTATTTTTTAAGTATTGGAATAAGTCTAAAGAAAAGGAAGTGCCTTATTTTTCTTCATGGTCATTTAGTCAAGTGTCTCGTAAGATCAGCTCCTCCCTCAGAACACAAGTTAATGCATGTTACTCAGTCGCCCAGTATGTGAAAGCAGATGTGAGGGAGACAGATGAGTTGATGGTTTAAATTTTATAATTTTTGCCACATTACCTTGATACAAATTTGCCAAATCTGATACTGTGAAAAAAATGGATAATTTTTCTAATGCCTGACATATAAGTTTTGAAACATTCTTTTAAAATCATAATTGATTGCTTTTAGTTATTGCAATATTTAATATTACCCCACGGGACTCTGAGATAAAAATTGTGTGATTTGAACATCAGTTTATAGACAAAATTAGAGCTCTTTTTTTTTATTCAGAGACGAGGGTGTTTAAATGGCCCAAACTTTACCAGACTTCTTTTTGCCATACAATCACTTGGGCAGCCTGTCCCCTCCCGGTTTTAATAACCTGGCCTGCCCCACACCCCTGCACACGTTGTTCTGACTTTAAAGGAATGTGAAAGCGAGCATCGCGCGCACATAAGGACTCCATCCAGCTGAGGTGAAGCTTCCAGTTCTCATGGAGCTCAGCTGGGGTAGCTGACGTGCATGGAGCCTACATGTGTCTGACCCTCACACATTCACTGCTCAGTACCAGGCGTGGCAAATGACAGGGCAGTGGGTCCCTCTTACGTACCTGCACAGTCAAGGTCAGCAGCAGCTCATTGAGCACCGCAGTGACCGGCACCCGCCCCTGGAACCGGTTCAGTTCATTACTATGCAATAGACTCTCGTTGTTTTGTAGCCGCCAGCTTGGGTGTCATGTGCCACTGCTCCGTCTTTCTGTTACACAGACCGTTGTTCGGATTTATTTACAATATGTGCTGTGCCATTTTGACTTTTATTTTGTTTGGTTGGTTGAATAAATTTGCGACACTCAAAACTTGAGGTGATAGTAGTTTAAAAACAATACCAGTATTTGATCCAGTTTCATCTCAGCTGTGTTATACCTGGACATTTTAGATGTTTATCAAAGGTCTTTCATGGGGAAGAAAGAACATGTATGAAATAGATGTGTGACATTTATGAGTAATGTTGGCTCTGAAAAAACTTTTGAAAACTTAGTTGAAACAATTTTGGATCAACTAAAAATAAGCATGACTTTTGAAATCTCTGAATGCCTTGGTTCTCAGTATTATCATTCTTTAGTGAATTTGTTTCTTATTAAAATATGTAGTTTTTAAGACTTTTTTTGACAGTATTATGTAATTTTCTAGCGTGGGTAGATGGGAGTGTCGCTTGTATGTTACCGTACAGCTGACATGTATTTTTGTCTATTCTTTATTATCTTAGTAGTTTCATGCTATGTATGTACCATAACCAACCTATTGCCTATGAGAAACATGTAAGATAATGTATTTACAGCCATTGTTACAAGTTTATAATGTATTTTTCTATCTTGTTTTATATGTATGTTATATAACATTCAAAAAGAATTTTTTTCTTGATTGAGAAAAGGATACAAAATGCAAAATTCACAATTTTGATAACTGAAAATTGCCAATTGTTTTGCAGTACTTTATTATATTGGGTGTCTTGTCTTTCTTGGGCTTTTTAGTTAGCTAATGAATGAATACATTAGATACTTTTGGGTTTTAGTTGGGATTTTACATAGCTTGCGTTTTAATTCTTTGGTTCTTTGCTGTTTCTATTAACCCATGGCATTATTTTAATAAATGTTATAATACCAACCTACTAACTCTGGACTTTGTTTATTAACCTTTACGTGTTTAATCAAAACAGACAAATAAAGACACAAGAATGTCAAGTCTTTAGTTACTGGACTAACCCTGAGGACTTTGAACAGATAACCTGGTGTGACTTGTGTTTGTGTTTGTCAGCTGACAGTTCGCACACTACAACAGCTTTGTTCTCTCACTTCCGGTGGGGGAGGTGCGGGGATGGGAACAGTAGCTTTGGGTGAGGCGGTCTTCTAGTCTTGCCACTTGCCTTTTGGCCTCTGCAGTACTAATTCCACCCTTAGCTTTTCTTCTCAAAGGAGTCACTGTCCGCTCCCAGCATTGAGAGCAAAGAGGCTCATAGTCAGGATTCTGTCCCAAGAAACCAGTTTGAGTTTTTGTTGAACCATTTCTTGGCATTTCTGCAAGTAGGTAGATGGTTCACAAAGCAAAGAATCTGCTGATGTCTTGTGGTTTTCACTGGACACTGGGGCTCCCAGCAGGGGTGAAGCCACAGGCGGCACAGCTGGGATGTCCCGAAGCTTGGCCCACCCCCCACTCAGTCCCCAGGGCTCCCTCCCCTGCTCTGGGGCACTGGGAACTGCTCATTGATACAGGAAGTGGGGTGGGGGGGGGAGACAGGGAATGCGTTGGAAAAACTATCCATGAACTTCTTGCATGCAAGTCAGCTTACAAAGATTTATTAAATGTCTTCATGCTCTTCCTGGCTGCAGCCCAGGTAACCCGGCCTCTGTTTATGAGCTCTTCAGTTCAACTCCAGGAGTGCATTTCTGTCCCACAGACACTGTTAATTTCCTTCTCAGTGAAACATCGGACAATAAAAAACTCTTAGGGTGAGTGCTGACATTCATAAACAACAGCTTAATTTTACAAATTACATTTTATTTATTGTAAAGTAAAATCGGAGGCTCAAACGTCCCGTGTTGCAGAAGACATGACTTCCCGTTCAGCTCCGCGGAGCATTCTGTGGCACTGCCACACGGGTCACAGGGAGCACAGAGGACGGTGAGGCCAGAGGGCTCGGGCAGAATCCGGGGCGTCCGGTCCAGGAAGCCCAGCGGCCTCGGGGGGCCTGTGGGTGGGCAGCTCGTGTCTGCTGCTGTGAGTCTGGCCGCACAGTCCGTCTCTCCAGGAATCGGTCGGCCTCTGCCCGGCCGCTCGTACATGTGACCGTGACCTTCCAGGCGGTTTACTCCGCCTCTGCAGCCTCATTTCATTCAAACACCAAGGCACTGCCGTGGGGCCGCCGCCTGGCACCGTCCACGCCGGAGAAGCTGTGCCAGGCTGTCCGTGCAGTGACGGGGCGCTGAGCCCCGTGTCCGACTGCACGTGTTCGTGTTTATCTTCATTGGCGCTTTGTGAAGCAGGACCTGGCCCTGGGGCTGTGGCAGCCTCCCGGAAGGTGCCGGGGTGCGGGCGGCCGTGTTCCGGCAACAGACTCCCACGCGTGCCCTGTGGGTGCGCACCCCACGCCGCTGCCAGCTCCAGCTGAGGAACAGACTGGCATGGGTTTAGATGCAGGCAAGGGCCCACCACACCATGGTGTCCGCCGTGGGGAGGGGTCTGAGCTCAGTGCTCTGCGGCCTCCGGGCCCCTCCTTCCCACACCCGGCCTTCCCTCCTCTCCGAGCCTCACTGGCAGCCCCTTCCCCTGGAGCAGGGCAGGCAGCCCCTCGCCTGTGCCTCAGGCCGTGTCCCCGTGGCTCCAGTGAGAGGCTTCGCCTCCTGCCCTTCACCTCCTGCCCTCCCCCACGCCCGGATCGCCCCAGGACTCCTCCCTCCTGTCCGGTGCAGCCTGCCCTCACTGCCTGCTCCCCACGCCTTTTGCTCACCCTCCTGGCCCACAGTGGCTCTTCTCACACCTGCCTGGCGTCTTAAAGGGTTTAATGGATTCCCCCTGCGAAACCAGATGAATATGGTTTCTCAAAAGTACCGTGCTTCCCCGAAAATAAGACCTAGCGCATGAAAAGATAAGACATCCCCTGAAAATAAGACCTAGCGCAACTTTGGGAGAAAAAATTAAAGACACTGTCTTATTTTCGGGAAAACAGGGTATTAAGTCTATCATGGCATATATATATATATATATATATATATATATATATATATATGAGGGGGGTCAGTGCACAAAATTCATGCAAGGGCCTTGGCCCCAGCCCCGCCCACCAGTACCTCTGCTGCAGCCCCTGCTGCTTTGGCAGGAAGGACATCCGGTCTAATTAGCTTATTACACTTTTATTTCAGATTTCATCTGAGTGGAGGCACTAGCTGACATTTTTTGGGTTTCCTTCCTAATGTAATTTTTATAATCGCCCTCCTTACCATAACTAGTTTTGTTAGAAAGCAATTAAATTAATTGAATACTTAGCACGTGTTAAAAAATATTCCACATCTAAAAGAAAACATTAGTGATAGTAAGTTTGGGATCAAACTTCCCTGAAATGAGATCATTTCGGTTAGCTGCTGCAGTGAGACCGCCCTAAAGGGGCCTATTTTTACGTGCCGCCCAGATTTAACCACTTCGGTGGTTTCCTTAGTGGACGCTCTGGTTACATAACCACACCAGTTAATGGAAGGTGCGGGGAGATGGTTAAAAGCAAAATGAAGGATATACAACTGAGTCCACAAGTATTGTCTTAAAACTAGCCCGCACTGACACGTTTCTGCCCCCGCGTTTAACTCGGAGCGCGTACCGGCTGGGAAGGCCGAGGCTGGAACCGGGTTTGAAGTTGCCCTCAGCGTGTTCAGACAGGTCAGTCTGTAAAGCTGACTCGGAGTGGCTCTGAATCTGTCCTAAATGATGCTCAGGAGCGACGCCTCTGCCGTTGTTTTCTCGCTGGGGTGAGCGGCACTGAGAAATGGTTCCAAGGCCGATGTGACTCTGGGCGGGACAATGCGGAGGAAGCCAGCGCGTGGAGCGCGTGCTGGGAGCCAGTCTGAGGCCCAGGCTGGCGTGAGGAGAACTGGGCCCACAAGCCCGTGTGCGAGGCCGGCCCGACCCAAACGTCCCGAGGCTGCAGGGCAGCAGCCGGCCAGCGGGGAGGACGGTGCCCGAAGGCCATCGCCCTTCCATGGGTTCTGCGGGCCCGGGTAAAGGGGGGCGCTCCAGGGCAGCGATGGGGGCTTTGTCAGCACCGGCCCCTCCTCTGAGGCCACCTGGGTGTCTCACCCGCTGCCCCAGTCCGAACCCCCCATGAGGTCCGCTCCGGGGCCCAGGTGGAGGGAGGCTGACCGGAAGGACTCGGCCTGCTTTCCGTTGCTGAGGTACTAGAGTAACATGTTTATAAAACCACATGTGAGGAAAGACCAGCAAGCTGTCAGCGCTTGAAGGGCTGTCATGGGAAGCTCATGCCTCCTCTCTGTCCTCTGTCTTCCACATGGCATTGGACAGAACTCAGGGAAAGGAAACAGGAAACACAAATTTAACGCTTCCCCTCTCTCTCCCTCCCCCCCCCCCCTCTCTCTCTCTCTCTCTCTCTCACACACTCACACACACACACACACACACACACACACACACGGCCAGAGGCTTGGAAAGCAGTTCCCCAGGAAGAACACATTCGGAAGGCTCCTTCCCCAAAAGGAGGGGTCATTTGGGTTCCCTGGAACAGGACTTCCAGAAGCTTCTCCGCCATAGCCCGTGTAGAAAACTGTTAAAGAGGAGGCTGCTCCCAGCCCGAACCCGACACCAGATGGGGTGAGCAGCGGAGGGGACGTGGCTGGAGTGATCACAGTCTGCAGCGCGGCGGGCACGGGGGTGGAAGCGGGGAAAGGTTTCGGGTCCAGCCCTCGCCCCCGCCCGCTGTCCCGCAGGAGCAGAGCCCGTTAGCGCTGGCGCCTGGCGCAGGGGCTGCAAACGCCTAATGAGATTCCGAGCTGATGTCTGTGCAGGCTCTGAGGAGGCCGGAGAGAGATTGGCTCCGGATCCAATGTGGTGTTTTAATTAAAGACGGTTTCTAATCAAGGCCATTAGCAACCTCAGTTCACCGTCCGAGCCGCCGCGGGAGGAGGCGGGCCAGGAGCCGTGGAGTCCCCGCTGCCCTGTGTGTGGGGGGTGGGGGGTGCCCTCATGCAGGGGCACAGGCTGGTCAGCGCCGGACAGCAGCCCTGGGTGAGCCCCAGCCAGAGCCCCAGGGGTGGGTGTGAGGCCCCCCCGGGCGGCCCTGCCTCCGAGGTCAGCCTGCCCAGCGTGGGGCAGGGGCGGGGGCGGGGGCAGGGGCAGGAGGAGGGGCAGGGGCAGGAGGAGGGGCGGGGGCGGGGGCAGGAGGAGGAGCGGGGACTGGAGGAGGGGCAGGGGCAGGGGCAGGAGGAGGGGCAGGGGCGGGGGCGGGGCAGGGGCAGGAGCCAAGCCCAGGGCCCGCACAGCAGGGCTGTGTCCTGGCGAAGCCCCGCGGGGTGGAGGCGGCAGGGAGAGTGATGTCAGGGTGGGGAGCCCGCGCGTGGGCTGCGGCTGGGGAAGACCACGCTTGTCACACCGGCTGCGTCCTCCCCGGTGGCCGTTCCGCTGCCCAGCGAGGCTCAGGGCCGGAGCGGGCTCCGCGGGCCTGCGGAGAGCTCTGAGGTCGGGCCTCTCCTCTGCGCTTCCCTCCCGCCACAGCGTCTCCGTGGCCTGGGCCGTTGCTGGGGCTCGGGCGGAGGGCCTGTGGGGTCCGGGCGCCTCTGCCAGGGGCTGGGCCTCCTGGGCCGCGGGAACCGGAGGGAGCACAGGGCCGTGCTGGGTGCAGACCAGGCAGCCACGGCGGCTCAGCAGCACGTGTCACTCTCACTCAGACACAAGGGCTCTGGGAGGCGGTGACAGCGGTGACACAGGGTGGCCTGCACCGCGCGCGCACTGCCATCATGGCCGTCACAGCCGGGCGGCACGGGCCTTGGCCATCGGCGGACTCTGGCCAGAGCCCACAGGCCCCCAGTGTGCTCTCCTCTGGCCTCTGACCCCTGACCCCGCTCCCTCCTGCTCCCCTCCCCAGGTCTCTCCCCAACAGCAGCCGAGCCTCTT